GTGTAGAAAGTCATGCTCCATGTAATTGAAACGTCTATATTATCTACCGCCGCCAGATAATGTCTGATGGTCACGCCATTGTCAAATTCTTCTTTTTTGTCTTCAAATATTGATCACCTTATTTTTTATACAAGAGTGCTGAAAAAAAAACTCTAAAACATATTTGAATTAAGCTCTTACCTGAGTGTGTAGCATCCAGCTTGAACACATTAATGTCAGTCTGCATTACTGATAGATGCACACAGCTTTTGACTGCTCCTGAATACTCAGCTGTCATCTGTCTTTTTTGCAAATGCTATTCCAAGAACATTTTCTAGTTCATCCATCTATGAGAAATCCAACATGGTGTGTAGATTTGTCAAAGGTAACACAGAGCAGGAGACGACTTGTAATGAGTAGCTGGGTAAATGGTGGCAACAGCAAGTTTATTAAGGCTATTTTTCATGTAAGCAACTCCAATAATTTGTTTTATTACCATGAGTGAAAATTAGTTTGAAGGAGACTCTTTCAGAACAAAGATGGGAGACAAAAAAGCGTTTGACAGAGAAGCAATGCACTTCTGCCAATAACTCAACATTAATGCAACTGTGCATTACACTGCTTCTATGCTATAAATGATCGCAGGCTACATTTGCAGTCACTCTAATATTTATAATAGTGAGAGAAGAAAAGAGCAAGAATGCTTGAGCTGTTGTTAAAGAGTCTCTGTTTACACTGGGAGCCACAGGAGGTTCACAGTGTGAAACTAAACAGCACAGCAGGTCTTTCAACTGGGAATAATTCACATTTATTTAACCTACCGTGACCTGAGATTACATCGGTGCAGCACGGACTATTTAAAGACGACAGTGTTTTTCACATAAACAAATATTGAAACTAATTAGCAGCATCTAAAGAAATGGTAAACTTAAAGTGAGCAAAATCATACTGAAAACACATATATTGACTTTTTACTTCTCTCTGTTACAAGTTATATCAATGTTACAACCCAGCTCAGCCAGGGGGAAAGAGAAGCAACATTACAGAAACCTAGATGTTAAAGGTTTTATCAGTCTGGGGTTTATTGTTTGGGTTTAACAACAGGTAAAAAACTACAATCAAAAGTTAGGGTCTGATAACCAAAAATACTTAATGAAACAACATCCACAAAACAATCGGAGTTGTAAACTACAGATCTTAACAAAGGAAAACTGATCCTTTTTTCCACATTAAACAAACTACAAATCTGTAGTAGAGATGCACAACCCCCACAAGTACAAAAAGCTCTCAACATTTCTAAAAACTCACAGAAAGACAAAGTTATTTAGAGCAGTCAAACACCCAACAAAGTGGCAAGCTGTATGAACAAAGAATCAAGCACACCTCCACCCAGGAAGTCTTGGGTTTAAAAAGGGAGGCCTCATCAGGGATTGGTGGAGCTGATAATTGGTGAGCCAATCAGCTCAGCTGTAGGCCTCAGGGAGGGTAGAGGAGGATGAGGGCTGCATCCATTTCCCAGTGGAGTCAATTTAGTTGGAAAGCTGCAGAGATGCAGATACGGAAGAGAAAAAGAAAACAAGGCCACTGGCCGTAGCAATCAATTTTCCTGTTTGAAACAGATTATGAAGGTAACAAAGCTTATTTGAAGTGAAGAGAGTAGCAATAGTGAACTGATTTTATTAAGTTTTAAAATTTTCCATTGCTGTTACGATTCCTGTTTTCTAACATGTTTGCAGAATTAATTAAAGACATAACCTTAATTTGGGTTTTCCATGTAGGTAACGTCATCAGAATCTCTTTCCAAACGACAGATTAATTTTTTTTATTGTTTTGAATTATTACAATGCATTTTCCATTTTGTTTTAACTTTATTTTTTCTATGTTCAAACTTAGTCTTTTTTCAGATATTTTCAAACATCATCAAATATGTATTTTTAAACTGTTTTTATTGAGCCATAAAATGGATCAAGTAGAATTTTTTTGACGTCAAACTGAGTCACTACGTTACAAAATCTAATCTAAACTAGCAACATCAGGTGCTTTTATGCTTGAATCAAAAGACCCTCATGTTTTTTGATGTAATGTTTATGGCTTTCCAAAGCATAACACCTTTCAAGTGTTTATTTCTGCATATTTTTAAACAATTACCACTCAGAACTAATGAAAACCCAAAATCTGCATTATCTGTTAAATTGAGTTTAACTCTTAAAGTGAGTGAAGGTGTCCTATATTTAAGATTTTGATTTTCTGTGCACTTGCTCTGAAGCTGCATATGCTGTAATTTTACCATTGCAATATATAGATTTATTAATGTTTCTAAATTATGAAAGGAACATGAATTTAAGCTCTCTTTGACTAATATATTTGGTGACACTTGTTGTTTCATTGCCAAAACACCAGCTGTTGATTAGAAGCAACTTTTTCAATGAGACCTTGGTGATGGATGAGTAGACTATCCATTATCTTGGGTTTATGTTTGCAGAGCCTAGAGCAGAAAACCTTTAACACTTTACTTTCTTATTCATTGCAAGATATATCTCACAGATTGCATCAGTGTAGATATTTTGGAGTATTAAAAAAAAAGTTGGATATGTACACTTTAGTCAAAAAACTTTTTAAAATGTTCATTCTGAAGACAATGAGCATTACCAAGGTTTTGTGGGAAGTGTTTTTTTCTTTGTCCTGTTCTCAAGTGATGCAGTCCTTACAGAGCATACAAGGCTGGTGTAATACAGGGCCAACAGCTGCACCACAACTCAGTGTCTATCATTAATTTCAGAACAACTGTGGTTTCATTCCTAGGCTACAAGTGAAATTGTTGAAAACATCCAGATGAGAGAGAATAAATAAATCAGCTCTATAACAATGGACAGCCTAATAGCCTGACTTTAAATCCAAAGACTCAAGATGTAGAAAATGAAAAGAACAAGAAAAAATATGTTTATGACATCAATTAGATAAGTAGAAACAACAAAAGGAATTTAAAACTGTAAAAATGAAACAGAAGAGGATTAATAAGTCACAAATCTCATATTGCTGAAATGCACATCTTTTCGTTCAAAACTTTGTCTCAAGCCAGTTGTAGCACAACAAAAAACTTGAGTGTGATGAATTTGACAGGTTTGTTAGTTTATGTTTGCTGGAAGCTTTCCAGGAACAAAGAAAACAATGGAACTGTGAAAATCATTGAAGTGGTGGATGTTTTGGGTTGGCAGCAGTCTGACTGAAATCACAGGCCAACAGAGCAAAGGGGACCAGCCAAGAGAAAGAGTCCAAAACTGGGCTGAGAATCAAAACAGGGCAGATGATCTGACAGGGAAAATAGCTGGAAAGCCAAGTCAAACAGAGCAAGCTAAGCAGGCCATACCAAAACTGGAGAGGTTAATGAGTGAATGGAGAGTGAAAAAGGGAATAGGTTAAGAGAACTGGACAGTTGGGATTGGGAATGACAAAATAGATAAGTCTGGGACAGGATGTAAAATGACTGGAAATGTAATGAACATAATAAAAAGATAAGTGAATGCATAAACAAGCCAAACAGAGACATAAAAAACCCCATTCATATGAGTAAATCTGGTATTATTGTTTGCAAAGACAAGTGTCTTGTAAAACTATTTAAAAAAAATATTTGGCCACAAATTCACAGACACAACACAATTCATGAGTGAATCCAAGTTGTTGAAATGCTCTTGATGGATATTTGTTCTCCAGCCCTTGTGTTTCCTCCATTTCAAGCAGGACAAAGTCAGAAAGTAAAAAAAAAAAATCTACATAAAACAGATGACTGACAAGATTTTCAGAGCAGGGTTGCATTTCGCCAGCAGTGCAGCTCCAAAGCAGGTTGATTTGAACTCAGTGTTGGGTATGCATCTGGGCAAATCCAAAACCATAAGATGTGACCTCCATCTGTACCTGCTCTTTGCATGTGTCATCTGCATAATGGAGTTGCATATTTACATTTATATCCACTTTTGTGAGAACCTCACTTGTTTAAATTCTTCTCACAGAGGTTAGATCTGATTATGCAAATGAAGTGGGTATGGTTGGTGAACAAACTGACAAGGCCAAACCCCAGTACAGGCAGCAGTATGGATTTTATATTTTACTTTTTTAGAGGTGAACTTGAGGGCCTGTCCTTCACAAACCTTCTATCAGATTCTGAATGCTAGGTGTTTTTTGTTTTTCTTATTTTCATTCCATCTTGCCTGGTTTATACCTGACACTACGTAATTTTTCAACCAGTATGCAACATAAAAAAACTACACCAAAATACAAAACAGGTGAATATTTCCCCAACACTGTTTAATACACAATTATAAAATGCAGCACAAATAAAACCCGTAAATCTTAATTTAAAAAAGAAAATCCATAAAGCTAATATTTAGAGGTGAAGAAGAAATGCATTTATTTTCAGGTTGAGAATAACTCAAAATAATTATAGACTGTGCTGGAGAGAAAAGATGGTTATTAGCTCATTGTCAGCGTTGTTTTGCTTTTCTGCCTGTGCATTCTGAATTACTTAGCAAATAACTGAATGAATGTCATGCTTGGGAGGCAGTAATTGAAAGATACAGAAATTGAAAATAGAGCCCTCTGGAAAATAAATCATCTGTCAAGACAGGAACAAAGTTTGTAAGGGATTTTGGAGATAGAGGAGAGAGAACGGAGGTTGGTAATTGCATGGCTTCTGGCCTCGTGATATGTCTTCATCCTGACATGTGCGCATCTCTCGCTGATACATGCAGGGAACATGAGCAAGAAGCTGTTTCATTGCCTTTATTTCTTTTCCCCCGCACTGCTTTTACTTTTCTCGCTTACTGATGAAAGATGCCAGATGAGAAGGATGAATGGAGAAGGGAAGAGAGAAGCCATTGATCCTGAATATGCCTCAAAAATGACTTTCACTAACATCAGAATGTTCATATGTGAGCACTTTAAAGATTCGGAGTGTTTTATGGACTGCACTAATACCTTCCTCTATATCTGTCTTTGTCTTCTCGGTCTTTGTCTCTCCCTCTTAGGCTCAGTGTCACTCAGTGTACTCCTGCTCTCTGTTGCAGTCGTAGTATGTGCCATTTGGCTCGTAGCTTTATGTGGGATCTGCACCTGGTGTCAACGTAAACTGGTAAGTTACGGTACCTAACATTTTAGCTTGCATTCATTGCTCATGACAATTGTTTCTCAGTTTCTTTAAAATATCGAGTGTATGTTGATGGCACATACACTCAGACTGTCATTCATTTTGGATTTTTCTGAGAAATCAGATCTGTTGCTTTCTTTACTCCTTATTTTAATTGCCTTATTCATTTACTTGTGGTTGTTCAAGATGATCACATGTAGTCAGTATCTTACAGGCAGCACAAAGCATTCAGATGGTCTTATGACAAAATAGTTTTATGATACATTAGAAAATAAGCCTGCCTGCCACTCAGTTCAGGCTCTTTAGAACCATGACAGAAACGTTGGTTTAAAGAAAACCCTGCTTGGACGATTCCTCCCACATTACAGCTTCTTTTCTATTTCTCCTGGTGGCTCTTGAAGGAGGACACATTTTTGTGGTATGTGACTCCAAATTATTCAACCCGTTATACCTGGATGTCTGGATCTTTTTGTGGAACATATCTAAAATTTTCTGGAAAGCGCAATGGCACTTGACACTGTTGGCTGGCATTTTCAAAAGCAGAAAATAAATGGTTCTGTAAATATTAGCATTTGCAGCAGCACTAAAACAGTTTCCGCTGTATGTAATGCATTGTAAGGTATTTTTGCTACTTGAACTATTAACATAAATATTTCCTAGTCCTGTGAATACTGGTAACCGCACACACTGAAAATGCTAACAGTATTCTGTCACAAGTCTGATACTCCTTATAGCACAACCTCTGTTATCTCAGAATAACTTCAACTCAATTGGCAATTAGAAAACCACTGTTGAAGACGATTTGCATCAAGCTTGACTAGAGTTTACAAAAGCCAGGCAGTAGACTCTATGGTCAAGGGGAACAATTATTTGCTCTGATAAGACCAATTTTGGAGCCTTTTCAGGTAACATGATGCCATGTGTGGCTGACACTAAGCACTGCATAGCATCACAAAACAAACCATTTCCACAGTGAAGCATGGTGGTTACTGCGTCCTATAAAGCTTGTAAAGATAAAAGATGAAATAAATGTCTCAAAGGGAAATCCTGGAGGACAATTTGTTTCCGTCTGCAAGAGAACTATGGCTTTGGAGAACATTTTTCAGCAAGACAATGATGCCAATCATGCTAGTAAAGATACACGAGTGATTTGAAGACAGAAAGGTGGAGGTTCTGGAATGGCCCAGTCAAAGCCCAAACTTGAGTCCTATAGAATAGAGAATTTGTTGCTGAATTTGAAAAGTGCTTAAAAAGGGTGAATATTAATGCAATAATTTTTTTGTCAAATTTTCAAATGGATTTGTAAAAGCAGTAAAAAGAGTAACACATCCAAAGGGGAGAGAACTTTTCAAAGGCACCGTAATGATATATATGAACCTAATTTGAGAGGCAAAGCAAAACAAACTTCACCCTTAGTACATCTGCAGTGAAATTCCTTCTAATTGCAGCACACAAAGTGGTGCGCAAAGACCCAAACATAGATCAATTGAGGCAGTGTCAAGAATTATGAAAAAATAAGAAAAGCTGCAGAAAACTTCTCGTTTTAGTTGTTTTCCATGGTGAAAGTACAGTGACAGTGCAGCTAATGTGGGATAGTGTGAAACATCTGCAAATACAAGAAAGGATTCTTTCAAGAAGAGATTTGAATTCTTCAGAATCACTGCATATTCTTAAAAGATTTGTGTAATCTCTTCCACTGCCAGAAGGGGGAAATGTAAAATTCTGAACTGCAGCATGGAAATATCATCCCTCACTAACCATGTTTATGCTGTTATGGTTCCAGGGGGATTATGAACCATTTGCTGTGAGGCTAAGTTATATTTGTATAGAAAGTCAGGCCTCTCCATTGACACCAGTCTGACCTTGAATTGAATGTACACTCTGTTGTTGTTGCTGCTGATTTGTGCTTTGCTTTACAGTAGAAGAATGTGGCTGTATGTTACACCACATACAGCCAATGCCCTTCATAAACATGCCTCTGTATGCTCAGAGCTTGTGCATCATGATTGTTTGCCTCCAGCCCACATCACTATGCTAATGAATCATATGTTAATGGAGATATATCTGCACTACTGGCCACTAACGGAGCTGTAATTTGTCCTATATGTTTTGATGTCTGTCGTTGTCATTTCCTAAATTCAGTCCTCCGGTCCTCCTTGCTGTTCTGCTCTCTTTTCTCTGCTTGTCTTGGTATCACTGCTGCACAGCTGTTCATAAAACATGCAAAAGCTGAGCACTAACTAGGCTGTTCAGATGAAATACATCTCTTTAAAAGACAGAGCAGCCACTATTCACACCTGACAAATTGATTTGTTTTCTTTGTGCATTTTCAAGGTATCAGTGTTTCTGTCTTTGTTCTTGTCTTACCGTCGTTTTTCTTGAAGAGTCTGTCATGCATTTATCTCTTTGTCATTTAATCTCCATGTTCATGTCAGGATGATTCCTTTCTGCAGTGTCACACTTCTCCTATGTCTTGCTATGACAGGACACAGCATTGTTATGCTAACAAATGCCTGTAGAAAAAAAAAAGGAAATTAAACACATGTAACAGCTGGAGTGATTTAACAGCATCAGATTTATGAGTTGATGGCAAAAACAGCATTTGGAAAATTAACCATCTTTATCATTGTTTTGAAAACAGACCTCATTGGAAAGCATATTATAATTTGCATTAAATATAATTTTACACATACATGTAATGGTAAATATGGTTCATTACAAATAGGTTAGGAGAAAAGTAGGAGAAAGTATCATAATAATAAGTTTCCTCTCATCCTCCTGAAAAAATCACATCTATTCTGAATTTTGCAATGTATGTTAAGCTTACAACTTGACAGTAGTTTACAAACTGAACATGTGGTTGTCATCTCCTGTTTTTGAGATGGCATTAAGTATCAAATAATTTCCAGAAAATAAGTGTGATATCTTTTGAATGCACAGAATCATTCTGAATCAGATTTGAGTCCAGAAGTTTCTAATTCTTATTGTCATGGAATCGTTTTTGCTTTCACTGATAATCTCATGCAGCAAAGTAATTTTCTTGAACTTACAGTAGATGTTTTTTTTCTTTTTTTCACTTTGAAGAATGTTTTGAGTTTTAATCTATGAAAGTACTTCAAGAATTCGGAGAATTCAGGGATTATCCTTAGTGCATATATATCTTTCCATTCTGTTTATTTTAAGCTCCAAGTTGTGAGCTCATGTCTGAGGTTGGAAGGACTCCTTGTCATCACCTCAATCTATAGCTCTTCCATAGATTCTCCATCAAATTCAAGTCAAGACTGGCTGGGCCATTCCAAAGTGATAATTTTACTTCCAGTCAAAAAAGAATGTTAGGAAATTAAAATATTTCTTTATACCTAAATCTGTCAGAGGTATAAATGAGTTTGTCTGTAGCTGTACGGCTGTCTGGCTTCTTGCCATGGGATGTTTTGCAGGAGAAATGGAAGGGTGGAGAGCAGGAGGAGATGCGGGACAGAAGTAGGAACTGCCATAAAGGCTTTACAGACAAGCAGGAAGAAAAGGTGTTGAACATCCAAGTGTGTAACAAACACCATGACAGCACGGCTTAAGAGAGCCGAAGAGCAAATCAGGGTCTGTCCAATTCATCTTTTGCTGCATCTTTGTCATTCTCAGCACAACTTCATTATTCTGCGTTCTTTTTCAAGCTTCCTCAATCTTGTCTCTTTCTGTTTTTCTCATGCCTCCCTGCTTGGTCGTCTCACTCAGTCGCTCCTGTTTCTCCCCATCCTCCAGATCATCCTCTGTGTTTCTCACATCCTCCCACGTACTCTCGACGTTGTACCTTCGCCGCCCTTTCTCTCTCACATGAACATCTTATCATTCTCTTTAATGATAGATGAGCTCGAGTTGATAGTACATTCTTTACTGTTAGAAATGTGTCTCTCATTTCCTGAATCTGATATTATTCTGCGTGTTTACAGTGTAACAGCTGGATGTGAAAGGTGCATATCAGGTTAGGCCCCCTGGCTTTGCTGTCTATTGACAGTGTTTGCGCCACTGTGCATGGCATATGAGATGTGGCTTGATAAATAATGGAGTTTATTGTGAATGCATTAGAGATAGATAAACTAAAATATAAAAATAGGCTATCTGTCTGCAGGATTCTGAAAGCTGCATTAGGATAAGCATTTTGCTTGTCATGCCTGAAAGCTTAAAGGCTCCAGGCAGCTTGACATTTGTTTTCTGAACACAAATACTCAGTTCACCTGTGTTACTTGAGCATTTGACTTTACTCAAGAAGTGAGTAATGTCTGTACCACGCCTCTCATGCAAAAAGTAAAACTGGTATTTTAAAAGATAGCCAATAAAACAAAACAGAACATATTGATTGAGGTGCTTTAAGTTATTGGCAAGTTTTGTATGATTTAAAAAGAAAATCGTTGATGAAATCGTTCTATAATTGGTCTTTTTTTTTAGGTTCTTCAGATAACCATAAATTAACATATCAAACTCCGTTAGGTTTATGTTTTTGATTGCACCTGTTTCCTTAAAGCGAGATTTTTAAGAAGCCTTTATCAGATTCAGAATGTCGGTGTTGGTCAAAACCTTCACTGGATTATTGTTTTTCTGCAGAACTCAAAGCCTTTTGTTTGTTTTTCTTCTGGTGCTTTTGTTTTGGAAAGCTGCAATGTATATATATATTTCATTGGAAACTTTGAGACAGCTGCTCTTCAGAGACTCTATTCGCTTTCATATATAATTCATGGCACACAGTTTCATTCATCTGAGCAGGTCCTGATGTCAGGCTGACCTCCTTTCAGGGTTTTGTGGCAGTACAGGGTCTTGATGGTTAGCACTATCCCTGGTCTCCGGTGTGAAGCTGCTGCTCACCTGGGACTTTTAAGATGGTGCGATGTCTTCATATGTGTGCAATACTCTCTGGGGAGCTCCTCACAATCCAAAGATGTGCTGTGAAGGTTGGCTGGGAAGTGACTTGCAAGCAGGTGTGACTCTAAAATGAAATGGTTGTGCCCTGAAAACATATATTAGAGAAACTAAATTAGGACAAACAGGAAAAGATTTAGGACAGAAGTCAAATTCATATCTATTTGTGATTTACAATTTTTGAGAATTAAAGATCCTTTAGGATTTATTTACCTATTTTCCACAATTAGACCTTAAAGTAACCAATCAGAAAAAAGTAACCGAGGGGTTTTTATACAGAAAAGGACCACAGCGCATAACAACACCGAATATCAGCATCATTTTTACCAGGAGCAAACTGTATAAAGCAATAGAGGGTTATAAATATCTTCTGACAAGTGCAGCGCCAAGATCAAGTCTGTGGCTCGCTGCTTCAGTATGTAGTAAAATACACAGCATGTAATCCACACCTGCAACAAGCTTCTAAATGCACGTCAGTGCAAATTCTATTGAAAAGCCATTGTTAAATAAAGTTTGGAAAAAAAAGAGATAAATAAGAACAACATTAAAGCATATGGAATTATACATACTTAACTTTTTAAAATATTTTAAGGAGCAATGTACATCAGTTCATAATTCAAATGTTGACTTAATGGACATTAATATCGTTCCGATCCTTGAAAAGCTGAGAGTGTAAAATGAAAACACTTAACCAGTAATCATGATTACTTGCTAAAGTTACATGAGCATAAATGACAAGTTTTGGAGAATATACAACTGGTCCTATCTAAATTTGATTGTTTTATTAGTCACCAGCCACTACTTCATGGATTTCCAGAACAGTTTTTTGAATTGTAATGCTTATTTTAGGAGCTGCAATACATGTGTGTCTGCCTTTTACATTGTTTTTCTCTAAAATATTAAAACCTAAAGCATTTAAGGAGTATGAAAACCTTAAATGCTTATATGATATGGCGGTGTCTTACCTTGCTATTAGATTAAGAAATTGATCAGAATCTAAGTTGAAGAAACCAAACATTGACTAAAGACATAATGAAGCGATGATATTGGAAAAGTAAGGAAAGGAATAGATGGTGACTGAAGGAAATTAGTTATGATTTTCTTCCTATTTTTGATTGAAGAACTGCATCCATAACTCCTCCTATCATGGGTAAAATCAACTCTGAATAATGCCCTGAATATTATATTATATAGAATTTTGTCATAAAGCCACAGGTATTCTGTATAAGACAGATCAGTGTTTCAAAAAGGACTTTGAATAGAGTTTAAAGACTTAATTTGCTCCCACCAACTACACCTCTCAGTCTGGACTTTCAAGATTTAATAGTAGAATTTGTTTGACGTTTTGAAAGCCTCGTGTTAAAACTTGATTACATGGAAATGCAAAAATTGATCAAATAGTTTTCCAGAGACATTAGACAGCAAGAACCTTTCTTCAGTTCTTCACCTTTAAAGCCAACTCCTATTTTTGCTTCCATTTGTGCTGCTGGACAAGGTTTTTATCAGAGTTCCTACTGAGTTACAACAACAGAAACTTACCAACTTCATAAGGAGTTGTGTTTATTTTTGCCATAACTTTTGTATATTTGATTGGCCAAACAAGTTGGATGCTCACCCATCACTTACTCAATTTAAAAATGAGTTTACTCTAATTAAGTTGACATTTTACTTTACCCAAATGCAGTAGTTTGCAAACATGCACATCAAGTTTTAAGTTAGCAGAATTAAATTTAATAGGTTTTGTAAACACAGGCCAAAAAAACCCAAAAATATTAAAACATTTCTTTTTTTACACAGTGGCAAGCCTTACTTTTCTCCAGAATGATAGCACTGATGTTAATATTATCAGAGAATACTTCAAACTGGGACAGATGTTTGGAAGCATTTTTTCAGAAAATCTGTTCATTTCTTCATCCCACGATCATCTATAAAGCTCCATTTAGTAGTTTGTGAGCAATTAACATCTGTTTGAACCTAAATAGATGCTCATCAGTACTGTGAAATGATGCAGAAATGCCAGAAAAAATGCATTTTAAATCTTACTGTGGCATTTTTAAGTTAAATGTTGAAACGCTTTGATATGGTGCATGGGGAATTAATTTTAATAACATGGCAGAAAACGATCCAACCACTTCCCTCATACTTACAGTTACATCTAACTTCTCTAATTTGTACACAGATATTATGACTCTAATTCTCATAAAACTCCCTCATAAATGCACCTTTTGTTGTTGACAGTTCAGGATAATCTTTGCTGTTGATCATATCACCAAATCACTCCTTTAAATTTAAATCATCAGACATGCATCATAGAGTATTTGTAGAATATAGATGTAAAATGTAATTTAAACTTCAAGTTGACGATGAAAAGGTTTAATTATAGCAACAGACGTAGCAGACGTCCCTCATTGGGGTTCAGCTTCAGAAGGTTACTTCCTTCTATTTTACTGTAGCAACATTTTTTTTTTTACAAAAACTACACAATACACTTCTCTCTCTTTCTCTGATTACTGTCGACACTCTGAGTGAGTCAGTCAGAAAAAACTTTGTGTTTTCGTCTTCAAGAGTTCAGTGAACATGGAGTTCAGTAAAATATGCAGGTCAGTGACTGTAACTAGCATTGAAAGCAAAATCCAGTAAGTCGCAAAAAAAGCTTTAAGCCCTAAAAACGGTTTCCAATTTTTTCATACTGTTTTTTGCAACGTTAGATATTATTTTAAAACTTTTTGTATAAAAATTCTTTGTAAAAGTTACTTTTACATTCTGGTTTACAGTTTTGCATAGTAGATATAAATATCAGCAAAATTAGTAATTTTAGCCGATTGGAACTGTTAATTTTAGGGTAATTAACTGCTGGCAATATTCCTATATTTTTCTATGAATTTTACAATTGCTTTTATATTTAATATATATTTCTGTGTCTTCTACATTTCTTGACTGTCAAAATTACTTGAAATATATGATTATTGAATTATTGTAATTCTGTGTATTTTCTACAGTAATATAATGCTTTGGATGTAACTGTTGGTATGTCACCAGTTTTTACCGTAAGTTTACAGAGTTCGTTTTTTACAGTGTAGGTTTAGGTCTTTTCACCTTTCCATTGAAGCACTCTCTCTGTGTGGTTCAAGAACTCAAATCTTTTCAAGTCAAAAGGTTCAAGTCATGTCTTGCATTTCTTTTTGGTGAATTTGTCAAGGCGTGTCTAAAAGTTATTACATTTCTGACTTCAAAATTCAACTCAAGTTCACACCTCTGACCAAACTTATCCTTAGGATTTCTCACCTCTTCCAGAACTGAAGTGATCAGAAGGAACCCAGATGCCTAGATGCCGATGTGTGAGCTCAGTTTTACTGCTGTGCCACCCCTGTAGGGTTTTATGGACATATCCCATGGAGTTTAAACATTGACTGACTTATGTGTGTCTGATTTACACATGCATTGGTTAGCGTTTTGTTTCATCTCTGTAAAGATATGTTTGTGCATGTTTCATTCATCTCAGAGTGTGTTTTTGCATCTCATTAGAGTAAAGTGGTCTCTCGTCACCTTGATCCTCTGAAGCGTGCCGCCGGCCTGGCATCCAACCAGATCTATTACTCTTCTCTCATTTATCATTTTGTACCACACTTGATGGAACCCGATGCCGTCCTAAAGTCTACATAATGAACACTTCACTTGCAAAAAATGCAGTTGTACAAATCATTGGCAGCATGTCTCTAAGGTCTGTCTCTCTCTTGTCCCTCTCTATTTCTGTGTCTCTGCTTAATGTCTTTTCAGGGGAAGAGAAATAAACCGGGGATGGAGGCTGCCAGCTCTCCAGATTCTGTGAGAGGTCGAGGAGAAAATAAAGCCATCAAGTAGGTGTCAGAGAGGGAGTAGATGTGGACGCATGGAAATGACCCGTGATGTGGTGATAGTTTCAGATTTTCACAGCCAATTTCTGATTGCAGAGCTAATGTATAGTAATAGTGTATATGTAATGTGATTGCTCACTGCGTGGTGCTGAAGGGCCGCCATAAAATGATGCTGTTTAAGTAGAAATACATTTTCAAGGACGATCAATTTAAAAAAAAAAAAATCTTAAGGCACAAAGTGTAGAGAAGTTTTAGGTTTTTTCAAGCTGTCTGCAGAACGGTGGTCAGAGGGGTCATGGGAAACATTTTCTAAGCAAAACTATGGCTGAATTCTCCTGTAACAATATGACTTTGGATAAACTCCTCATGCATCTTTAACACATCTTTTAAATTGAGTGTCGCCTCTTGCATGTGAAGATCTCTCTGAGTGGTCAATTCGACTTAGCACAAAAAGGAATGAAATATTTTGTTTGTTTTATTTGTTGTTGTTTGTTTTATAAAATTTCTTGGCAGTGACGCTTATACCACTGGAAAGCCAGTTTATTTCCCTTCAAATAATGCCACATCTGGAAAGGAAATGCATTTATGGGCTGAGTGGCACAGAAAAATTGGCCAAATGCTCTCCATCAACGCCAAACAGCTTTTAGTGAAATAAGTGGGATGGTGTGGGGAAACGATTCCCAAACTGAAAAAAAAAGGCCTGCCGTCATTGAATTCAATCCTAATGCAAGGAGATACTGAGACAAGCTTCCAAAAAAACCAGCGACAATCTCATATCCCCCCCTCCTTGGGACTGTAAGAGTCTTCAAATTGTCAGTGCTCCAGGATTTGAAGGTAGAGAGGAAGAACGGCTTGCAGTCCAGACCACGACCACATTGAGCAGTTGTGGGATCAGCTTTAGCATTCTGTTCAAGCCAGAACGACGAGCATAAGCACATGCAACAAATGCTGGTTGAGAAATAGAATCTGTCTCACCGGAGCGTTTAACCAGGCTGGTGACAACCATGAGGAGGGACTGCCGGGCTTTTGTTGTACGAATCTCTAACACATCGATGACGGGCCTGTGTAATAAGTGAAGACTCTGTTAAATGGTCAATATGTCTTTTTTTTTTAATTCCTAACATCCAATCCAATTAAAAACACTAAAAAAGAGTCAGTCATAGAATACATCTGATATCCGAGAAGATAAATTGCGGTGATTTAAAAAATTCAATATCTTCATAATATTAATGCTCTTACAGTTGAGACTGCTGAAAACTGACAATATCCTGTCTTTTTTTTCTCTGAAATCTTAGACGTTCTCAATTACAGTAATAATACTCATCACTGATTCATGATCAAATGGCTTTTATTGAGATCTTTCATCATTTTCAGTCTTTTAATGGCGAGCTGTAAATTAGTAATACAGTAGCCATCCATTAATTGGAAGACTGTTGGCTCTGTGTGTCAAAATGTCCTTGAGCAGGACACACAGCCACACTTCATGCAGCTGAGGGACGGATACATTAAAACAAGAAAGCAGAGTTGAAAGGCGGCTAATTTATAATAATATGATCTTTATCTGGAGGAGTAGGTTAGAGTTGGTTTCAAAAGTACTGTAAAGTAATCTTTTTAAAATATATATATGTATATATAAGAGTATCAAATATGGGTGTTGAGTTTCATTGTATACAACAAATTAGATTAGCCCCACAGTTTGTTTTTTAGTTGCTGTTTTTACATTTTCATAATAAGTGTAATTTTGGTGAAGATATTTCAAAATTTTAATGTTTAATGACTAAGCTGTAATTATATTACAGATTTTTTTTAGTTTTTTTTTTTATTTTATTTTAGAAAAGCATCATATTATTACTTATATGTGATGATTGTTATCATTTCATTTTTACCACATGGTTTTATTCTGGCTTGTGTTTTTCTGTTTCTAATGTTCTATGACGGTCCTGAAAGGAATCTTCATCCTCCATCATCATCTTCTTTAATTGCTCCAGCCCAAACTGTCATTATGTTTAACATCAAACATCAAGTCCAGATTTTATATTATTACTTCATACTATTATTGTTTACTTTTCCCTGTTTATCACATCCTTTCCCTCCATGCTGTTTCTTTTTTAGACATTTCACTCATCTGCGGATGTTTTCTTTCTTTATAGCTGCCTGTCACTATTTGACGCTCTCAGATGTCTAACCTTTTGCTGTCTCTCTCTGGCTGCAGCGATCTAGACAGAGACTTTTGGAATAACAATGACAGCAGCAACGTGCAGCAGAGGTGGAGCTCCTACCCGCCCAAGGAGTTCCTCCTCAATATGTCTCCCTACGCTCCCTATGGAGACCCTCGCCTCACGCCCAAGTGAGTCCTGGTCGTGGCTGGTAAGGGACCCCTCAGTCTGGGCAGGGCTGTCATCAACAGGGGCTGCAACAGGAAAGGAGTTATTTTATTCAATGTTTCGTTGTTCATGGCAGACAAAATACCCAAATTTTCTTCAAATCGAATTCAAATGATGCTCAATTCATCATTCTGAGCATTTAAAAGGTCACTGTAATATCCCGCAGAGGGGTAAAAAAAAAAAAAAAACTCATTTTGTAACGCTGCCTGGCCATTTGTCTTTTAACAGCAGTCTCGTCTCATCCCTGATAATCCTCATGTTTCTACATTTGGGCATGCAGTGGTGTTTAGTATGCACTGCTGGCCATGCAGCACCTGATAGAGATGTGCAGCTCCATCCCTTAATATTGCTGTGATTCTGAGCACTGCTCAAACACTAGCAGACGTACTGCTATTTGTTTAAATGGCATTTATATTAGAAGGTGGTGTTCCTACAGAACAAAAATAGTCAACATAATTCATTGATCCCATACATAAAACCAGGAATCTACAATAAAATTTAAATTATGTATGAGATAAAATGCAAAATATGTTCTTCCTTTGACACCTAAGAAATGTCCAATTCAATTTATTCAAGAATCAGAGATTCAGGCTTGACTGGGAAACATTTTCTATAAAATGCATATCCACTGACAATGGATTGTTACAGTGATGTCTTATATAGCTATAGAAGAGCATACATGCCCTGCAAATGAAAACGTTTGACAGTCCCATTGCTTACAGCCCTGTGAGCCTCACCAGACCTTCTTTGGCTTCCACCTGCAAACCGTGGAGAGATATCATGGAGACAGACAACCCTCAGAGCAGATTTCACTGTTTTCCATTTTCCTCATATTCTTTTCAACGGGTCAATTAATTTCATCTCAAAACACCGTAGCTGCTCAATTATAATGATTATGAGCAATTAGATTCTCCACTGAGAGTTGACTGTCTTTTTAAAAATTGTTTTGGGTCAGATTAAACAAAGAGCCTGACATTTGCAGAAGTGTACTTATTGGTTTTCTGGGGGAAAGTTAGATCTGACAATTAATGCTTCTCTTCTTCAAAATATTTTCAATTAAATATGAAGAAACCGCAAACACATTACAGGACTTTAGCATGAAGACTGGAAACTAATAAGCTTTCTTAGCCTTCCGGGTGTTTCAATTAAGGCAGCCCCAGGAACTAAACCCAAGAACTAAAGTCTCTGAAAAATTACACCACAAGTATGAAATTATTGTTATTCACTCGGAGCTCCTTCAGCTGTCAACATTTTGAGTGACTCTCAAAAGTGTACACACCACTGTTAAAGTTCTGAGAGCTTATGATTTAAAAAGGTTCAATCAGTTCAACCTAAAAAAGAAACAAAAACAAAACAAAACACACTGCATGATGCTGCCATGTGTCACTATACAGACAACGTTTTTTGAGTAAACATAAATGGTATTTTTGTTGTTTTCCCACCAAATATACCTTTTTAACTCAAATATTTCTGTGTGATTTTATCAGACTGTAGCAAATTGTTCTATGAGGATCAGGGAGATTTTATATTTTCTGTCTTCCAAACCTACTTCTGAGTCCTGGCTTAAAGAATACAGGAGATCAGTGTCAATACAGAGCAGAACCATAACTTGTTGTAAAGTTCATAAAGCTCCTTAAGTGTTGACCTCTTAGCAGCTTTCCTGACCAGTTTTAGTCTTCTCTTTCAGTTCTTTTAAAATCAGAATTGTTTGATATTTTTTTCAGTGTTCTGTATCCGGATTGACTATGACTATACAAATAATACATCCTTGGAGACAAACTTTATTTCAAGTTTATTAGGTATGAACTCAACTTTAAAGTATTTCAGTAGAGTTAGTTTTTATGTGAACACTTACATAATCCAGGTTAGATAAATGAGATAAATATCACATAACGTGGTATAAATTTTGAAACAACTTATCATTTGCTATTTTAACCAGTGTGTACACTTTCGAGAACCTCTGCATATTTTCAATATTCTGATTGAGCCAAGCAGCATTTGTGCAGATTTCAAGCATTTTTGCTTTTTTCTGTTTTCAAGCTGAACACAAAAACTAGTGATTGTAGGAAGTTTTGGCAGAAGGATTTAGTTCCCTCTGAACAGCTCTCCTGGCATGTTGCCAGTCGTCATGCCAAGTATACCAAGCAGCTGGCCAAAGTTCTACAATCAATCTTATATTCTGGCTCTCCATCAGAAAACAAATGTGCACATTTCTTGAAATATCCATCTGTTCTTTAAGCTGTTCTTTAATTTTGCTTTTCACAGTTTCTTTTCATTTCTCTGTTTGTATGTGTGAGGTCTTTATGTTTTCCTGTCTCACCTCTTCCTCCCCTCGCTCTGTGTTTTCTGCTTGTTGTAAGCACTCCCACTTTAGCTCGTAGTACTCTAAATGCTGTAAGGCTTCCTGATAGCCCTCCTGAGTCTAGTCTGACTGAGCTCTGTTCCAAAAATAGTGCCTCCTTTGTAAACAGAAGAGCAATTAAGTGTTTTGGGTGGTTAAAACGTCTGCCTCGTGTCGGCCTCCACTTCATCATTTAGATGCATCTCACACGATCACCGAGGCATCAGGTGAACCCACTCGTTCTTATCCTCTCTAATTATAACTCACTTGACTCTTCCAAAACCTCCATGCGATCAGTTTCTCCGACTGTGCGCTGACGCCGAAAATATTGTAAACTCAGCGAGGAGTGGTGATTGCAGCCTTTGTTGTGAAGCCGTTGCATTAGGCTATCAATGCGAGTGCTCAGTTTTGATTGGCATTTATTAACTGGTGAGAGTGTCATTTCTGAAGCGATCCGTTATCCACATGTTAAATCACTGCAGCACGCTTATTTTGTTTTTGCAGAACAAATACACAATTTAGAGGTCAATTGGAAGGCAAGACAAAATTAGTAGAGATCCTCTTTAAGATAACTTTAAATGTGCTAACCAAATCTACCCCTTCATTCAGTAAAATACTTATTGTCTAAATGTTAGAGACACCCTCCTGTTGTGCAGCTGTTGTCGTGTGGTTTGTTTTTACTCCAAAGGTCCCGTACTAAAGTCAGCGTTCAGTCTGTACTCGTCTCTGTGGCTCTCCGTCCAGGTCAGCAGGTGTGGATTTGTAGCATGCTGAGTAATATTTATTCTTTTCTTACAGGGAGTCTTTGGCGGTAAACATTAGATTAAAGCGTTGCAGGTGTGTGAGATTACAGACATTAGCGCTGTGTGTTCTCATCACCTGCATGTGCAGCCTTAAAAACCTGGAATGATGCATTGGCATAATTACGAAGCCGTGCTGCCCACTTCAACCAGCCGCCAGGTCGATCACCGCCATAGCTTTGCGTAGTGAAATTGGCCCATTCCTCTTTATTTATGAGTAAATCCCTGAGAACTGTGGAGCTTGGAAAATCATAAGTTTCCCACATGTCCCCACAGAAGAGCCTCTGTGGGGAGAAAATTTACCAAAACTTATTTTCTGCTTGTAGTATTTACAGAAAAATATCAACTACTTTTTTTAAAAGCAGTTGATAGCTTTAAAGTGATGGTAAAAAAGTAAGTACACCTGCTTTCAGTTTTGATTTTCCACATTTAAACACCAAAATCATCTTAAAATCAAGTAAATGTAACTACATAAGAACAACTGAACCGTGCTATTGGTTATCTTTCAAGAAATAAGTGAAGCATTAAGGGGTCATTGCTTGCCTATTCTTGGTTTGGATAGTTTTTGGGTGTTTTTCTTAATGAATGAACTTATTTGAATACTTATTTTATTTATTTCTAACATTGTGCAACTCAGTAACAGTTTTGTGTTCCTTCAGACACCTAACACCAACGTGGATCCATTAACTAGTTTTTTGCACTGGGTGAAGACTGTAGTAAGCATTTTTAGGCCACACACTTCATACCAGTTTACAAGCTTATAACAAAACACAAGTTATTTTCTGCTTACTTTGTAGCATCTGTCGACTATGAACACCTCAGTTTCCTAGAGTAATTCAGAGTAAAATGTGAAGCCATCTAACAGCTCATGCTTGGCCACAAAACTGGGTCATACTTCAGCTTTATGATTCCAGAAACAGCAGCCAGACGACAGCTGCTAGAGGAGATGAAAATCACCTACATGTCAGAATGAATAAGGCAAACCAACGATAAACTGTGGACCAAAACTTTTCTTTTGAATGCCAGAGACTGACGTTGAGACAATATATATATATATATATATATATATATATATATATATATATATATATATATATATATATATATATCCCGAGGTTTGCTTTAGGTTTTCAGATTCTATTAATGTACTTTGGGTTAGTGTTTGTTCACTTTGTGTTTGTTAGGTTGAACATGCTTTGAGTCGTCTGTGGTTGTGTTCGCCTGATTTTAAGATCTGGGAAGAAGCTGATGATTTTTGTCAAGTCATGCTACATAAGACATTGACATTGAAAGAGGATTAGTTCCTACCTTTTTACCAGAACTATAAGATACATTTTGAGTCTCATGAAATTAACTTTTACCACTTCAACTAACTTAACCGAAAACTCTTTTGCTCTCCGGCCTTGTACGTTTGTGCGTCTGTCTCTCGTCAATCCTCTCTTGATCCTTTCTTCTCGTCCAACCGTGTCTGTTTGTCCGTGGTCCCACGTCGTATCTTCCAGTGGGGCTGTGGATAAGGGTGGGCAGGGCGGAGCTGGACCCTCACCAGGGGCCAGTGACATCGGGGGTGGCGCTTGCTCCAGTACAGGAGCAGGGCCAAGTCGCAGCGACAGCATTCGGAGCATGGTGACGGGGGGCAGCAAGGCCGGGCGCTGGCAGACCCTCCAGAGCCACATGCATGCTGGAGCCCTGCGGTTTAGCAAGTGAGTGGCGCATGGTGACATGGGGTACGCATGAGGGGCTACAGTGGGCACAACAGGTTTGATTGAGGTTTGGATATCACAGACGTGTTTGCAAAAAGTAGCATGAGTGCAACACCTGCATGTGCTCTCAAAGATTGAGGTAAAGCTACGTTTACATGATAAGTCAGCTAAAAGCTCCAAGTTGAAATAAAGAGTATCAAGATTATCGAATAAAATAAATACCACCTGAACATTGTTCATTTGTGGTCATCTAAGCTCTGACTGTGTTTATCAAACCAAAGTGAGAATTAGCATTTTAACTATGACGAAAGGTCATAATGTAACACTTCATTCATGTTTTAATGTAGGCTTTGATAAATTAGTAAAACAATGCTTTATTTTCTAATGAAGCATACCCTACACTGATATACCCTGATATGTTTGTTTTAGCTTGTATCTACATGCATTTGCCCTATGTACATTGTCATCTGTGTCAGTTATGGGCCTTTACTGTGGTCAGAGCCTGAGCTAACGATGCCTCATACCTGGTGGTGCTATTGCAGGTAGAATTAGCACCAGAAGCCACAGCAGTAATATTCAAAATAAAAACAGTGTACTTGTAATCAGTGTTTTATGCATATTATATTTGGAAAAGTCTATTTCTGACTGCATCTTATGCAGATGTGGACCAAGGGACGAGAGATTTCCACGTCTAATCTTGAGCAACCCTGAAAACCACATTTCAAAATGAATTGATGACTTTTTATGCACAATGTTTCTATCTTTTCAGTCACATTTACACTTTATTTAGACACATTGCAATGTTTTCATCTTTGTGCCATGACAACCAACCCCACCTGGAAAGTAATATGCAATATGTATCACTGTGCTGTTTTAATAGATATTTGTTATTCATACAACATTTTTAGAATATATTCCAGTTTGCACATGATGTTTGCAAGTTCGTTGTCCCATTTACAAAAGATAATTATTTCCACAGGAATTTAAATATCAAATTTTAAGATAAAATGTATATACAAATACCAATATACATATAATTTAGTTTAATTATTCACTCAACATATATTATCTTATTTGTTAATTACATTTTGAAGTTACCAATAAGCAACATATGAGGATGACTATTACATATGTAATTATAAGTTGTTTAGACTTTGATTGCTTTGCTTTTGTTTTGTTTTCTTAAAAAAAAAAGTCTGTCCAGGACACAACGCATGGATTTCCATTAGTTCCTGATATTTCTCTGTTTTGTTGTCTAGTTTGCACATAAGGCTTGATTGAGGATGATCCAGCAGCTTCTTGGTTCTTTCGAAAAGGGTGATCGTGTCCACAGAAAATGCCATTTTGCTAAAACAATGCACCCACATAAAGTAATCATGGTTACTTTTATTGTTTTCTCCCTCTTTTTTTTATTTTACATTTCTTTAACAAATACAATATTAAAAGTATTAAAAGCACAATGAGTGAAAGCACAAAAAAACACATGCATGTCATCTTCTGGATGGGAGTGAAAATCCTTTCCGATTGCATGGACCGAACCGCTGTGCCTGCACTCACTGTGATAGTGTGGTATGAATACTGTTACACATTTACTGCATGATAATCAGTCTTTATGTAAATATCCTGATCTGTAAAGCAGAGCAAAATAAAGTGTGTGACAAACAGGTGCAGCAGAGTTCACTGCAGAAGCTCCACATGTAAATCCCTCTTTCAGTTGTTATTATGCAACTCTTCTTTATAAAACTCTGTCTTCTTGAGATGGATGAATAGACAGATTAGAAACTGACTTTAGAATTATTATTTCCCCCTTTACGGGACTGAAGACACGCCACACATAATGATTAAATCATGTGTCGCTGCGTAACTCATCTGTTAAACAATCCAGACACACAGATGTGAAATAAAAACAAGCCTCACATAAAACGTCGCTCACCAATTATGCAGTTAGCTTTCTCATCCCATAAAAAAAATGCCAAGCAATTGTTTCTGAGTTTCTAGGAGTTGCATTTCTTTGCTCCACTCTTTTGCACAGATAATAAAAAAGCTCTCAGCCTGTTTCAGTGAACTTAATTGATTTTGTATCTTGCTTTAACTTTGTGTGTGAACATTTTAACAAGCTGTAAGATTACATATTTGCATCTTAACTTGAATTTCATAAATGAAGTTGTGACATGCCTTTTCCCTCATCACTTGTCTTTTTGTTCTGTTCTCCTTTTTTGCTTTCTCTGTATTTCCATTTCCCCTCTTGGAATTGGAATCTATTTTTGTGCATTTCCCTCCCGTTTCTCTGCCTCTCCTACACTTTCTTTTCCCTCTTCACTGTCAGGATTTTTATTTTATTTTATTTCATTTTTTTTTTTTTCAGTGTCCTTGTTTTTTCACCCTCCTCAATTTCCCATAATTACAAAATCATTCAAGGTTTATAGTCATCTTAATTGACATTCAAGCAAGAAGAAATGTGAAAATAACCCTCTAAGTCACTAATGGGATTCAGCAGATCAAAAGTGCTCATTGCTTCGGGCTTCTGAATAAACGTGGCTGTTGCCACATATATTATTCAAAAGACGACAAAAATGTACGCCGTCTTAACAGATAAATCGACACAGGAAATTCCTATAAGGAAAGGAGTGTCTGTTTTATTACCAAACATTTCCCAAATGAGAAAAATCTGTGTCAGATTTGTGTCACTGGACAGACCGGCGCAATTTATCAGCCCAGAGACTGGCTCCCAGAGGTCTGGCCTAATGTCACCGTCAATCCAGACAGATTTATTCATTTTTCATTTAAGATAACATGACTTTTGCACCTATAAGTATTTCAAAATGTAAAACTTGTCGGCTGATTTTTTTTGCCTATTGTTCATTTTGATCATTGTGTTTCTTTGTTTTGGTTTGTGCACTTAAATACAGATGCACAATAATTATGTTTTTCCAAGTGTTGCTGTGTTCTTCACTTTTGTGTTTCTCACATTTGAAGACGAGTGAAGAAAATTCTTTGGTAAAGCATGTCATTTATGAGAATTTGCTCTTAAATTATTCTAAATATTATATATTCTTAATTAAGTTGAACAAAAAAAAATTATTTGTGTTAATTAGACTGGGCGTTACATTTATTTCTGTTATGGAGGGGTTTTTTATTCTAGATTAACAACTACATTTCATCAATAACTCAGTCATTTCACTGATATTTAAATTGTAATACAATATGACTGCTCTCTATTTCATTTACAGTTGAAACCAGAAATTTACATACAATAAAAAGACACATAAACATATTTTTTCTTGCTGTCTAAAGTTGAATCAGACAAAATTTGTCTTGTTTTAAGTCAGTTAGAATCACCAAAATTATTTCCATTTGCTAAATTGCACAATATTGAGAAAAAGAATATGTAAGAATTATTTAATAATGTTATCAAAGTCATCAGAAGTTTTCATACAGGATATAACTATTGCTTTAAGGAAAAAAATAAAAACAGATGATGATGTCATGGCTTTGGAAACTTCTTATAAGTTAGTTGAGACATTTAAGATTTTGTTCTGCTTTTTATTTTCGTGGCCTAAATTGCACAAGCAGAGAAATTAGCCAAATATGTTATAGAAATATGTCAGTTCTCAGAACTGAATCTTCGTTTTTCATTAAATACTTTCTCGTCATGATCTGGGTTTTGTAAATATCTGTCCTAATTTTAAGAGAAAGTAAAACAGAAGTCTCAACGTCAAGTAGGAAACCTTTGTTCCAGCATCACTGGCCACTTTGAACTGCTGCCAAGAGGAACCCAGCTGTGAGGTCCAACATCATAATGTGGTGTCGCCTCTATTGAGGGCATCATTTGGACCTCAGCAGATGCAGCTCTGACTCCATCATCTTCCTGATGCTACCAACAAGGAAGATTGACACAAAGCTCCTTAGTTACATCACTTTTATCATCTGAAAAATAGAAAAAGCACAGTATCCAAAATAGATTATTTTTGTTTACTCTGCTGTCACAGAAAGGAAGTCCTTTCAACGGTACTTGTCAGACAGTATATATCTGTACATGCATAAAAATCTAAGGTCAGTGTTTTGTTTTTTTTTCGCATTTCTGAATGGGATATGTGCCATAAGAGGTCGAGGCTGTTCGGTGCTTTCAGACTAACCACACTGAGGTCTAATTTATCCATTACCTTCAGCTTGTGTGCGAGTCCACATAGCGTTGCCTTCAGCACCGACTCAAACACTTACAGCCGAACATCGGACATTTCAGAAACAGCCTCAGTGTTTAAATAACTCTCTGTTTCAAACCAAGGCTATCGTCACCATGTAAAGAAAGCAAATCATGACCAGATTTTGGTTTTCTTTTGGGTTTAAGAAATGCTTTTTTATTTTATCATATTATGTGCCAATGTAATATGTATGTCATTTATCAATTTGTACTTCAATTCAATACACTCTGTTGCCATTTTTATCCCAATTTTCATCCATTTTGTATTTGTAAACACACAATTTATGCTCAGGTTATGAACCTCCTACCTGTGTAATGTTTCTTCTTTAAGTAGTTTGATGAATTTATAAATGAACCAAAAACAAAGTGGCATTCTGACATAAATCCATTGACTTTTATGCCAAGACTTTAGATTACACCCCATTTATTAGCTCATTTGAGCTACTTGATTCCAATAATTTATAACTACATAAGACTCTTGATCAAACCAAACTAACTGTAAAATATGAACTGATTTTGAAAGATCACTGTACTGTTTATGTAAGGAGTAGAAAAAGCACAGAATTCAAAATAGATTTTATACAGTAGTTAGTTGCACATCATAGTTTAAACCTGAAAACTTAACAATTTAAAAAATGACTCTATTAGCAATATTATTTCATTCAAACTGAATTAAATAAATACAGAATACATGTGGATACATTCATCCACACGTATAAAGTTTTACTATTGGGCACAAGTAAATAAATATCAATAAAAAAATGCAAGGGTAAATTCCTCAGGTGAATTATACAAATGTGTGTGTTTGTGTTCTTGTTTACATAAGAGCTCCTGCATTTACTAGATGCAGCTTTGCTTAGCACCTCTGGGTGCTTTTCCTCTGGCGCTCCAGCGAGGTTAAGGCCGAGTTAATACCGAAGAGCTCCGCTAACGCAGCTCAAGTCCAGGTCGTAAATCCCCCCTCAGAGCTTTAGCTCCAAACTGAGCTGTTTAGCACAGGCTTACAGTTATCAGGCATGCCTGTGATTGAGGGGGTATAAGAAGAGTAGCAGCATTACACGAGTGTAAGAGAAATAGACCAATAATTAGAGAACAGAATTAAAGAGCAGTGATTGACGGCGGTGGAGAGATGGAGTGATGAGAGGGTGGGGAAAAGACGAATGGACAGGGGAGAGATGAAGAACTGCTGAGTTTTGGAGCGCACAAGTGAAAATGAGGGGTGGGAGGAGTGGAAAAGGACCTTAGAGAAAGACGGATGGAAGCAAAAGTCATCAAGTCAAGAAGGTAGAAGTAGGTCAAAGCTAATTAGAGAGAGCGATAACGTCCAGCCGCAGTTTAGTGCTGCAGATGGAAGCTCCAGCTAAGTGATAGTGATACTTCAATTTAACTCAGGTTCAATTTTGCAGGGGTTTGTTTTGACACAATTTTAATGGAAGGAAAATTGAATGTTAACATTACATGCTTTTCCACTGACATACACACATGCACTTTTATGCAGCCTAAGCTCAAACGTTGAAGCAGCAGTCTTTATCTAGGCACCACACATAACAGCAATTTTTCTGTTGTTCTTTTTCTATTTTCTACGATTTTGCCCTTTTTTCCTTACTAACATTTTTTTTTATATCACCAATCACATGCTTCCATTTGTTGCGCTTTCCTTTTGCACCTTTCAATCCATGCTGTGTCTAATTCTAAGCTCTGCCCTCTTGTGTCCATCTGCTTCCTTCCTGCTGCCGTCTTTCCGCTCAGTTTCGGGGATGCTTCCCTCTCGTCTGCCTCCACTCTGGAGCACATCCCGTCATCGGCTGTCGCGCGTCCCCGACCTCTTGTCCGCCAGCAGAGCCTCCAACAGCCCCTCACTCACCAGCCCCCTCCGGGTCCCAATGACCCCCCGGTCACCTCACAGAGCCTGGGTCAGTTGCACACAGGCCCAGGCGGCGGGGGCCACCGTGGGGGCCCGCGAGGGGTCCGGGGTAGTCCGGCTGGAGCTTCCAGGTATAGAGGGACAGGGGCTGGCCGATCACGGTCAAATCCAGGGAGCTGGGACCACATGATGGAGCAGATTCGCCACAGAGGTCTGGACGTCAAGTCATTCCTGTAAGTGTCACAAAGTTCTCTACTCATTTGTTGATTTGTTTACTTATAACCTGGCTAATCAGAGAACTAGCAGTAGTAAAGTTGCCAAGTCCTTCAAATGGAGTTGATGAGTCGTTTCAGTTTGGTTTCATCATTAAAACGTGGTAATACCAAATTATTGTTTGTAACATCTTTAATGTGTTTTTGATGTTTAACTGACTGAACAATTAAGTAGAACGTGGCATTGAAGAAAACCTGAACATATTTCTTCCTGAATGTTAGAAATTCATGTAAGTGTTGTGTCATAATTTATAGATTAAATGTAAGAAATTGAGCTTTTCCAAGCAAGTGTGTGCTAATTTATTTTTTTTTAAAACAAGATAAACTAAACCCGTCATACATCTTTTAATCATGTACTGTCATTCTCACTTCATACATCTTACTAATACATTAATTATTTACTGCAGTATTAGAGAGTGTGTGTAACTCTATGCAGGCAATAGATCAGATACGATGCACTTTAACTAGACTCAGTGATTTCAAGTATATCAGTGAAAATAAGTTTGCTGTCAGTGTTGGAAATGCTGAGATGGATTTTGTATTGGTGCTTTAAGTTTTACATTAAGCTTGGATTTCCCTGAGTTTTTGTTTGCTTAAAAATTGCCCTATTCAGTGGCTTTATAAATCATAGTAAATCTTTTTTCTGCGCAGCACTCTGTAGCTAGTCCCTGCACACACATCTCACAGCTGGCTGCACACAGAACACAAAGGATGGCTTCTTTATCAAAAAATAGCTTGTGCCTCATGCTCCAGTTTACTGTGGTTGAAAACATTTAGTTCTTCTTTCTGTATGTTTAACTGTTTTATTGGTGTATTTACAAGAAAATAAGACCTTTTTGTAAACAAACTCAGAAACGAACACAACAAACTTGATATAATGAACTCAGCAAACAACTGACATTGACAACATATAATCATATAATTGCATGCAGTGTCAGATACAGGAGAAAAATGACTATGCAGCATCTTAGATTTAACTTACAAGACAATGTTACTTTGCAATTTACAGCAGCCAATCCAAAGACCTGTGATAAGAATTGCCCCTCTGCCTCTGCTCCCCAATTAAAAAATATTTTTTTCCTCAAACCACCAATCTGACATCAAACATAAAATACTAAAGACTCACTGCACAGGAAACCATTAATGAGATGTCTATATTCCATATAATATCTGGTGAACAGGATAGATACTGGAATACAGAGGCCTGTGATTTTTTGACTTCCAGAGCCCAGAGAGATCTCTTCCACTGCTTGACTTGAATGATAAATTACAGATGATGTGCTGTTCCTCACCGGCCTCCCCTCCTGACCATAAACACACACTCTCGCACGCATCAATAACCAAACCTCTTCCCTTCTGAGCTTTTTGCTGGTTCACTTATTAACATTGTCTCGAGGCTGAAAAACCATATTGAGGTTTCATTGCTTGCAAGCTCTGTCTTTATGAATGTCAGTGGAGCAAATACATTATCTCTTGGCACCCGTGGTGATTGGGGATATGATGCATTTGTCAACTTATGGTATGGACAAGAAAAAAACAGCAGCTTTCTTCCATTTGTATCTTGTGTCATAGCGCTTTTATTCCAGATCGATAAACCTGCTGTAGGTGGTAATGATTTCAGCATCCTTTGGTTGGGGTGCACGCTTCATCTATACAAATTCAGTCAGCCCATCAATGAGCATCATGAGGGTTGTGTTTATGCGTTCCCAGTGGGCTACTGCCTCTTGAGTACTGATATGTTCCCTCTTGCTGTCAATACTTCTTCTACAAACGGCATTGAATTAAGGACTGGAGTGCGCTACAGATGGCATATGGCAGCTAGAAAAGAAAGAAATGTGATGTTTGCAGAGATGAGAGAAAGATCAGTGGGGAAATGAGCAGAAAACATCAAAAGACGACCAAATAACTTTCATTTTTGATCACCTTACTTTTTTACTTACTTCTAAGCTTTAGGCACACTTTCATGTCTCTATTGATGTTTGTCTAATCAGTGACGGGTTTAATGTACTATTTGGGAGCTTTGTTTCCTGTCTTAAATTAATTAATGTTTCAACCAAGAGGACTAAAACCTCAAACTCTTCAGTGATGCAAGAGTTCAGTATCAAACTTATATCACTTACTTAGGAAAGTGAGATGGCAAATATTACATTAAAGGAAAAATACACCAGACATAAACCTTTAATTAACATGATAATATGGTTCTATTTGATTGATTCTGTTTGTTTTCGTATGAGTTACAACAACATTCAATTTCCTTCTGGGATTAATAAAGTAAAGTGACTTTATGAAGTCATAGTGAGTATTCAACTTAGGGAGGAGGACCTTTCCTAGCTACCCAGTCTCACACTGTTTGCCACCTTGGAGGGAGCGTCTTTCTTCAATGGCAAAGGAAGGAACTACTTCTTTCAAGAAACCCTGGGTCCAAAGGAGTAATTTCGGAGTATTTTCCATGTACCAAGCATCTGTATTCACAAGAAATATGCCTTGGGCCTTGGGTTGTTTGAAATTCTGCAAAATCTTTGAATTATAGATTCCCCAACAGAGGCATTGTTCCTCTTTCCATCATTGAACTGATGCTGTTGCCATTCTTCTGAAGGATAAGAACCACAGCTTCACCAATGCTCCCTACATGTGCCGGCTGAGTCAACATCTGCCCCAGGACTGGACAGCATCACCTGGAGTTGAAAGGAGAAGTACCCCAATCACCATGGTAGAGCGGCTGCTGTATCTAGTTTCCCTTTTTTATTTATACCAGAGGCCATTGGCACTATTTCCCCCCATTCCAAGAGAAAGAATGAATTTCAACTCCAGATGGTTGTTCTACCACAAACTGAGCAGCAACTGCCTTTGTTTCCCCAGCCGTCACTACAAAAACCCCTCTGCTGTTAGGTTCCCATCATTCATCAGAGATTCCTTGCTTCATTAAGGATGACTAAAGCAAGAGGTATGCCAGGGCAGAAATAAGTTTGCTTAAGAAAATTTTGGTTGTGATTTTCTGTTTTGTTGTTTTATTGCATTTTCCAGGATTTGATCCTGCAAACTCCTTGGGAACAAACAGGCCATTTATAGTATCTTTTAATCTTTTATAAGGTTATTGATTGATAGTCATTCTCATCATACAATGTGAGTTTTGTGCATTTTACCAGAGCTTTTCTTTCCTCCTTTTCAGTCTCCGCTAATGTGACGATTCTTTCTTTCTGCCTGAGGAAAGCTTATAGTGGTGATGTTAAATGTGATTCTTCGTTGGTTTCTTTTCCGGTGAAATGTTCCTGGATTTCTCATGGTGCGTCATCTGAGTCAGAGTTCTGAACAGCAGATTCTGGTGCTGCTGAGGGGCAAACCAGTACTGATGACCATTAAAGTTATAGTCATGCTTTTGGAAGTTTGCATTGAATGCACGCAAGCCAAGCAAGTGGTGTTATCTTTATCCTTGACACATATGTTGCTAATATCCCCCTAAAGAGGGATTATCTAAATGCCTAGATTTGGTCCCAAAGTTCATTTTATCATAGCTCTCACAATCTGTTTCATTGTTTGAATCAGTACTCTAAGACGTGTCAATATCCCCTTCAAAAGCTCAGAGTACGACAACATAAGTTGTAATTTTCTGTATATATAAAAGTTTTATTTGCTTTGTTTAAAGTAGTTGTACAGGTCACTACATTGTCATTCGGTCGTATTATTGTTGATGTTATTATATCTTTGTTTATTTTTATTTTTTGTTAGTTATTACTTTTTAGTATTTTATATTAGTTTAGCTATTCTTTCAATTTTTTTTTTTTACATGTAGTTGAGTGTTACTTGCTAAGCAAGTTAATTGATTAAAGTTTTACCGGAAATACATAATTAATTTTGGTATTAAACTCATGCAGAAGAGATGTTGTTTGTGTTTATTCCATGTTTACATGTGCAGTGCTGCTCAAGACCCAACATGTGTTGGGACATATTATTTTATCTATTATTATTTTAATATTTAAGCCTTATCAGGCAGCCATTCATAAACAACAACTGAGACTGAAAGCTACTTTTCTGTTATTTCATAATAATCAAGGAGTGGCCTGACTTGATATTTGAGATCTAAATTAGTTTGATTAGTTTTTGCCTTTGACATTTAGTAATAGTTGTTCATAGTCAAACTAAACCCATTCTTGCATAGAAGGGGAAAAAGTTTGATCATCTCCTGTTATCTCAAATAAAACTAGAAATAACCACAGATATTGTTCACACTCTAATTTCAGCACTAAGGGATCAAACAACTAAGGACTCAGTATGTGATAAATAAACTGGCACATTAACAATCAGTCCTTCCAGAACAATCTGCTCATCCTATCGTCACAGAATGCTGAGTCTTATTCTCACATGAAATGTGAGAATAAGACTTTTGTAGTGATTAATGTGTTCTGTGGCTTTTAATAGCTCATTCCTACAGAGCGGTAAAATGAAAAATATCAAGCAACGTCTTCTTCTTTTTAACTTGCTCTAAGCATATTTGAAAACATTAGAAATGGGAAAATTAAACTCAGAAATTCAAAGTTGTAACTCTTTGCATAAATGATCCCATTGGGGATGGAAATTCATATTTCCTAATCATTTAATTTTGTCTGCCAGAGACTACAAAGACTATCCTCATGGGTTATTGATGTTGATTTATTGACTGTTGTTCACATAATCTACTTCAGTTGTAAAATACATCTGAAGAAAATGTGATGCTTCTTAAAACGTTTGCATAAGTAATGAAACGGCAAAACCTCAGGCTTTCTCGATGTTACTGACTGCATGCAGATTTTCATAAGATGCATTGCAAAGGTGTGGTTGCAGTTTTTGCTAAGATGAAACACTGTAGTGTCCTCACATCGTTCTACCACCTCTCTCCCACTCTCTCTTTGTACACCAAATGAATGTGTGCTGGGTGTGTTTCCCATCACTGCCTGTCTGTGTGTTTTGCCTGGAATATGTGTGTGTCGCCGTTTGTCCACATATTCCACCTGTGTGTGGACTTGTGATCCCTTGTTTGTCTCTGTATGTGTGTGTCCAGTGAGGGGAAGATGGTTGTTCTGTCTCTAGCAATCGGGCTGGCTGAACAGGATGACTTTGCCAACCTCCCAGATCTCCAGGAAGCTCCGGCAAGCAAAGAAAATGAAACCACACCAGATAAAAGGTAATTACAGATGGAGGCGCATGAATGTGAGCACAATATGTGAAGTGGACGGGAGTGTCATAAACGCCTCACACTGGGTTAAATCCTCAGTAGTTCAGCTTTCTGAGTTCTTCAAAATGGGAACTCTGGGTGTATCCTTTGAGTCTTGATAGTTTGAGATTGGACTTCAGTGCATCAGGCCTGAAGTTTTGTGCGTTTCTGGAGTTATTTCTGCAGATTGGCATGTTGCTCAGTCCTCTGAGACCCTGCTGCATTTTACGGACTTCATACCATCAGGGATATTATAATGGTAAATGCAAAGTAATGTCATTTAGCTTAAGATTTCTGTGTTTAAAGCTTTTTATATTATCTGTTAAAAATTTACAGCTGATTGATTTGTTTTGTGTTGATGCCTGTTTTATACTGTATGTATCCAGAGATTTGTATGACTGTTAGCCACTCACTGATTAGAAAAGTTAAAAGTTTAAAAAAAAAAAAAAATGTAACTTAAACTCTCTTATAATTATGTTTCCACCACAAATAGCAACTGTGACCCCAAGATTTTGGTTTGAAAAGGCTACAGTTTAATTTGCTATGCTTGATTATGGAAAGCGTTGATTATTTCAACCTACATTTTTAACTTCTGCTGATGCAGATAGACAGCAGTTCCATGTGCTCTTTACAGCTCTTCTGTAACTCGGCAATGAAAACAAACAAATCTTTATTGTTACATTATATCTTCTAAGAAAAGACTTGCTGTATGACTAACTGCCTTCTCTCATCTGTTAAGAAGAAAAAGTGCTCGTTTTCTCCATTTCGGCACATTTGTTGGTGTACTTTGCATTTCTGGGACTTTTAGCTCACGAATTCAGAGATCTCATAATACATACTTTGTTTTGTGAGGTTTCTGTTTTACCATGGCCTCATAGAGTTTTTTTTTTTTATTTGAATTATTCTGTGAAAAGGTGTGATATAATTTAAGACCTTTCAAGCTTCATGTCATAGATGAAATTCCAAACACCCATGTCATAGATGAAATTCCAAACACCCATGTAGTGCAGTTAGCACTTAAATTAAAAAACTCCCCAAACTCGACTAATTCCCAGAAACAGGGCAACAACTTGACCACGTCAACCTCTCCAGCGTAAACTTATAACATTACATTTTCTGGATTTCTCTCTCTGTCATTTTGCCCTTAAAGCGTTGGGCTTTTAAAATGTTCCCACTTATTTTATGCCCAACTTGAAGCTTTCTCTCATTTTTATATTACATAATTGCACAACCTCCCACCAGTTGTTTCCTTTATTTGTTGTTGTTGCATTTTCACTCGCATATTCTCTGCGGTCCCCACCCAGAACTTTGAAAGTCTGCTTGACAGCAGCTCTTTGCAGCTCCTTTGATGTCTGAATCGCAGACACAGGAGCAGGGCACCCTCATTATTTAGAAGTAAGATTCCCTGCATGAAACGCTCATCTAAAAATATGCTAAGTTCTCTCATCTACCAGTGATCTCGCAGCAGCAGTCACAGACTAACGCAGTCTCCCAGCTGGTGTACAAAGGACTGCACAGGCTTCTCTCTTATCACATCAGTGTTTGAGGGATAAAGTACTTACCACACTGCCTTCAGTCTGCTGGGCTCAGGACAGCAGGGCATAGTTCAGGATAAGCATCTATACATTCCAGCGTAGGTGTTTTTCTGTGGTATTATTTTTTCCCATTAAATGTCTCAGCTGCACAAAGTTTTATCAAAACATTCCTTCAGTATATCAAACCATGCTACTATAAAACTAGGTTATCGTGAACTTTTGGTGGATGAAGACTAGAAACTTGCCTTATGTAATATAACTGTTTTGGGGGGGGGGGGTTGTTGTTGTTTATTTTTTGCAAAAATGATTTAAAAACAGTGTTGTAAACAAATGATGACCACCGCTGTCGAGCCTGTGGGGTTGTAAGGTGCCTGGTTCTGATCACAGCCCAGCCACCTTACCAGGGCTCATGTGGGCCAAGTTGTCCACTGTTCTTCCACATCTAAAAACAGCTCTCTATGATCATCATCTCTATCTGTCCTTCTCCTCCCTTTGTCTCTGCAGTTACTTTCGAGCTGTGTTTCTGTCTGCTGGTCTGCTCCTGGCTGTTGTCAGAAAGCCTTCAGCATGACTGAGCAAGATGCAATGGGATGATCCCGCCAAGATTATGTGTGACAAAACAAAAAGCTGTCAGACGGCTACGCAGAGAAAGGACGAAGAAAAATCATTTGCTTCTAGTTCTGTAGACAAATTATCTTATTTTTAAAGATAAAAATAAGACTCGAAACTGGAGGTCGGAGGCAAAACTTTTGGCATATACATCTTTCACACAGAAAATCTTACGAAAACCCAGACAGCAGATAAATAAAATACAAGGTTTAAATATAAATTTAACAAAAACAAGCTGAATATGGACATGTTGCATGATGAAAGCTAAATTTAGGTCTATTATAATTTGTAAACTTCTTGCTTCTCTGTGAGCTCTCTGCAAAAAAAACTTATCTCACCATAACAACTGCATCTTGTTTTTTTTCTCCAGCTGGAAACTGTCGATGAAACCTGTGAGCCTGAAACAAAACAGTAAATGTGTGGGCTGTTCTGAGTTATAAGTGGTTAAAATCTCTGTGGATCTCAGATGAGCCACAGAATCAGTAATAAGTTTAGGAAGTTCATTATGAGTGATCTCGTTCAGTGTGCTGACTCATTTCATCCCCTGCTAACATGAACATATTACTCAAACTTCATTGTCTTCTCAATATTGCAGCTACAAAGCCAATTAGTGGTATGAAACAAATGACCAAAAATTTCCCCTTGCTGAATAAGGGGCTGCGTTATTTTATGCAAATTTTCATACTTTTTTGAAGCTACAATTTTAATCTTAACTTTGATTTGGTGACAAACCAATATTTCTTAAAATGTCTCAACACTTAACAGAGATTCCGATACACTTTACTTTCAGGTGATAGTGCCTCACTTAATTTAATACTACTAATATATTTTTAACATTTGTCAGGAATGCATTTATACAGTACATTTTCACTTTACGTCACTTTTCTTTATCACACCTCATTTATGAAGGGTCTTATCAAAGGTTTTGTGCACAGGTCAACCTGTGCAAAACTATGATTAGCTTACCTTTGAGAGAAGATGTTTTCAAACTGTGTTTCATGTTGACAACTGCAACTGATGGGCTCTGGTTTTCCACTATTTGATTTATATCTAAGTTTTGGTGCAGAGTTGCTCAGAAGTGTCTTGTCAGTGACTATTCCTCGCTGGAGGAGTTGTTTTCCATTCTTCTTTTGTAAGGTTCTCTGTAATGTAAAATCTAAAATGGTTGAGATCTGGACTATGCCTTTGATCACACTTTGCCAAATAAATAAATAAAATCCTAAATATAATGTGCAGATGATCCTCTCTCCATCCTCCAACTCTATTAATGGGTCCTCTAATCTGTGATGTGCAGTTTTATGTTAGGTAAGTCCATGTGAGTCACTGTGGCGGACTGGACAAAGCCGGACATAATCACCCACCTGCAGATAACAATGACGGTGGCTCGGAGGCTGTTTTTGTTGTTATCGTCTCAGAAAGCTGCCTTTGCACGCCAGAGCTGCATCTTAATGAGCTCAGGGATGCACCGCACACAGAGATGCAACAGGGAAATAAATATGAATAAACCCAAAAGAGTTCACTTGCCCCAGACAACCCACCTTTGAACAATGAGGTTGTAAAAGCTGTGAAGACATGTGAGGCTTTTCGATATGAAACATTTCTGTTTAATTTGATTCTGTGTAAGCCAGTAGTAATGTTTTATGTCCGTGCAAAATTTCACTTGCAATCATTTCAAACGGCCCATTCAGTTGAACCTCATCAGCCTAAAGTCGCTGGAAACATGTTTGTGGACAACATGTTTGTTAACATGTTTGTTAACACAACAGTGGATAGAGACTGAGATAATAAAACATTTGTTAATTTTTGATGTCTGTGTCCTGCTGACCCAGCCTGAGTGAGGCTTTAGAGCTGGGGCCATCAAATCCAGGCCTTGAGGGCCAATGTCCCCTAACTATTCAATGTGTCCGCTTCAACACGTCAAATGATCAGGGCATTAGAAGAACTCTTGAGAACTTGACTTGGGCCATTTGATGCAGGTGTGTTGGACCAGTGACACATGCTGCAGGTCATTGGCCCTCTGGGCCTGAATTTGAGGACTCCTGCTTTTGGGGTTCAGGAAACCTTTGCAGGTGCTTTGAGTTAATTAGCTGATGTAGGTGTCACACCATGAGTTTTCAATATTGAACATTTCACAATATTTTAATATATTATACAACAAATTTGAAGTTTTACCTGTAACCCATAAACATCAGTTGAAAGGAAATAAATACTGCACTCATGTTGTATTGAATTGATATGTCTGACTTTAGTACATGATATGGATTACATCATGATAATAAAAATATAGATATTTTTATTCTTTTTTATTTAAATGCAGTCCTCTATTTCTCAGATTATTGGATCATCAAGAATTTTTTTTTATTTGCAAATAGGTCAGATAGTATATATTTTTTTAATTCTGGATCAAAATTTAAACTATCAACATTTGGCTTGATTTATAGCAAATTAAGATTAAGTCGGAGTTGTCCAATAGGGGCTGAATACAACCTCAATTTGTATTTATTTTTATTTTTTTCAGTCAGCTGTGACTTGCAAGCTGCCAAACTATTTCTGGTACTGTTGAAAACTATAAAAAGGATGAAAGCTGTGCAATAATATCCATCTTAATCATCCTGAGAATTTTTGCATGGAGAAAATCTTAAAAATGTACGATGATAAAGCTCAAATTTGCTCTTAGGAGGTTAGCAGCTGCTGAAGGTGTCTGAGTTCAGAGCTACAGACAATAGAAAAAAAATATGTGCCATAAACATTTGTTTGATCTCTGTCTGATGTTTAAAATTTCCTCACACATAGTAAATATTTATTTAAATTGCTTAACAGAAAATT